CGGGCTGAGGTGGGTACTGCTGGGCCATCGGGTACGGCTGATGTCCATATGCTGGACCGCCGTACTGTGGAGGAAAACCCTGCAGGCCAGGAAGTACGATTCAGACTCATTGTTGGATGAAACAAAGCAGGTTTGTCAAAGAGAAACTAAGTGGATTCAGACAATTAGGAGGAGTAACGTGGACATGACATCAAAACATTTCTCAACAAGTTCTGACAAATAAGTAATCAGATCAGTAAGATAAATCAGCACTTGTAGTTTAAGACCAACAGCAGAGGACATGAACTCAGGCATCCAGGAAGAGTTTAACTTGACCTGATTTTTTTTTTTTTTAATCGTTGCCATCACCAGAAGAATTGCAGAACACCGTATACCATGACCTTTGATTTAAGGCGTGGAACAATAATTACAATTGTGTAAACTCCAAAAAAAACATACTAAAAGCAGAGGAACGTTTCTAACCACTCTTCCAAGAAGCAACAAAGCCTCTGAAGTGTCTTTTCTCTTCAGCACATCATGTTCTGAATGTGCAAGAAGTTTTGAACAAGAGCTAAAAATCTCGCTGATGTGCAGGAATTTCTAAGTGTGTTCATTTATGGATGAATAGGTGGCACATTTAAAGAGGTCAAAAGACAACAGATGAGCATGATTATATGTGTGTTGACTTATCTTGGATTAAATGTTATCTGCAGTACAGTAAATATTTTNTAGTATGTTACACTAGTGTCAGTGTTAGAAAATCAGTGCTACTATGTAATGGACAAATAATGTTTCAACCAGTGTACTCGTCACATAAAACTAACCCATATACCTGTCAATCACAAAAATATTGTGCATTAACAGAGGAGGTGCAAACAAAACGGAACACAAGTCAGCATGAAGTCATGTAAAGCTACAGTATGAGACAACGTACATGTGGTCATCGGTGTCTTATAAATGTTGCTCATCATGAGGATAAAGACATCTGTTATTCCCACTCTACACTATGTTTTATTTGTTCCGTGAATAATGTCCACAGGGCATTTGGTGTGCAAATATTTGCTTAGTACAAAAGTTGCCAACCTGACTTACAAGGCCGCGACAAAAGAGGGAGAAACACTGCAAAGTAATTTATTGTAAGAAGTGGGATTGCTTAAATACAAAACTTGTGGAGTTTGAAGTGTTGGACGTACATGAGAGTGAAGATGTGTGAGTGTCGTAAAATGCAAAAAGAAAAAAACAAAAGAAAAGAAAACTACCCTGGTAGGAGAATGAGAGAGAGAGATCTCCAGCTGCACCCAAAGCTTTATAGATTTGGAAAGACTGAACTAAGGTGTTCCCAGTTAACACCAATGATCAGCACCTAAAACACAAGCAGACAAACTGAAAACAAAAGGGTTCATCACAAAATCTAAGCTCCACACATTTGAAGTTTCAGCGGTTTAAATTCATCCATTGTCACCTAATAACTGACTCAACAAGTGTACAACTATGCATCCGTGGTGGCGATCAGTAAATAGTGAATTAAACACTTCCACTCTTTAGTTTCAGTCACTCTTTGGCCTGTCTTTGACTAAAACACACGTAGCCAAGCGTGAACAGCTTCCTGATACGACCATGATTAAAATGGCTGTACAGTTGTTGTGCTTAATTTCTGTTTCAGTTAGGTGGGGACAAGTATATCTGTTTTTGTAGTTTTCACCTTGCACTCTGGCCTGGTAATGGATACAAAGAGACTTATTGCAATTTAAAAGTCTTCTAACTGTCCCTGATTCATAGAGTCTTGCAGAATATGGGTGTTTTCATAAACATGTTGAGGTTAATTGGTGATTCTAAATTGTCCGTAGGTGTGAATGTAAGTGTGCTTGGTTGTCTGTCTCTAAGTGTAGCCCTGTGATAGACTGGCGACCTGTCCAGGGTGTCCCCTGCCTTCACCCNCAGGAAATAACATAAAAGAATACAACAGGACAGACAAGAAAATGAATGCTGTCATTGATACAAAGTTGATTTTTGTTGTTTGTTGCAGGAATTTGCATTAAAATGCAGTTGTTTAGCAACATTTAGGTGAAAGGAAACACAACTGAAAGCCAAACTGTGTGATGTTTGATGACATTTTTTGCTCCTTTGTGCGTGTTTCTGTGCTGGTTACCTGCTGTGGAGGGTATCCAGGGCCTGGCGGGGGCATGCCGGGGTAGGGAGCTTCCTGGTAGGGTGGAGGAGCCGGGTGGCCCATGGGGCTCTTCTCCGCAGACCAGTCCTGTTGAGGAGCGCTCGATGTGTTGGTGGGATTCATAATTCAGCAACTTGCCTCACTTAAATAAAAAAGTAAATCTCCCTTTTCACCGCCGTGTTCCTGTAACTCCCACGAAAAGTCTGACTGTTGACAGTTTTTCTTCTTTCTTCAAACTGACTTCGACCCTGCTGCTTCTGCTCCTGCCAGTTGTTTGATCACATGCAGAGGTTTGACACAATGATCCTATCAGTGTCAAGTCAGACAGAGTGAATAGGAAACCTACCAGTCACCTCTTTCAAATTAAAAGCACCAGTAAAACTTTTTTTTTTTTTTTGCAGTTGATCAAAATATGATGAATTTAATGCACTGCATCTTCAAAAACCTGAAACACAATGAGACAATCAGTTTGTTTGTTAATATTATTATTCAGGATCAACAATATAAATAGAAAACAAATACTTTTGCAGTGCTATGAGTAAAATCAGCAGCAGGGCTCCACAGCAAAATTACAAATGAACTCTGAGAGAGTTAAATATGACAGTAGAGAAGTCTCCATATGTGTCCACTCTTTTGATATAATACTTGTGAAAGTCTGTGTAGATTCTCTGTCTTCCAGGTCGTAGTAATCCTAAGAGCTTCAGTGTAAAAACACCTGGACGTCTGTCTGTGATGTTTGTTTTCAGAGAGGTTTCTCATCCGAGAGGCGAAATGTCTTTTAAAAATCTAAAAGTCAAGTCTGTTCTACTCATCCTGAGTTATTTCAGTACTATACAGAGTTGAAAATTAACACGAGTGTTGATAGTATGTTACACTAGTGTCAGTGTTAGAAAATCAGTGCTACTATGTAATGGACAAATAATGTTTCAACCAGTGTACTCGTCACATAAAACTAACTCATATACCTCTCAGTCACAAAAATATTATGCATTAACACAGGAGGTGCAAACAAAACGGAACACAAGTCAGCATGGAGTCATGTAAAGCTACAGTATGAGACATCGTACATGTGGTCATCGGTGTCTTATAAATGTTGCTCATCATGAGGATAAAGACATCTGTTATTCCCACTCTACACTATGTTTTCTTTGTTCCATGAATAATGTCCACAGGGCATTAGGTGTGCAAATATTTGCTTAGTGCGAAAGTTGCCAACCTGACTTACAAGGCCGCGACAAAAGAGGGAGAAACACTGCAAAGTAATTTATTGTAAAAAGTGGGATTGCTTAAATACAAAACTTGTGGAGTTTGAAGTGTTGGACGTGCATGAGAGTGAAGATAGGTTAATTGGTGATTCTAAATTGTNATAATTTTGCCAAGATGTGTAAATCCCCGGGTACCAATACCAGCATGGGAAGAAAGTGCATGCAGTTGAGCAAAGTGAGAGTAAAAGTGACATGTTTGTTGGCACAGTCAAAGTGGAACAGAAGAAACACATCGGAGTGATGGAGACAGCAGACACTGAATCTGAGGAAGAAAAGTGGACAGAAAGTGTAAGAATAAACAACAAAGTGATGACTTTTGAATTGGAGACAGGTGCAGACTGTAATGCAATGTCATTCAAAACAACAAGCACTCAATGTTAGAGGCCGACTTGGAGCAACTAGAAGCAAACTGGTTGCATACTTTGGCCAAAATATGGCGCCAGTGGGAAAGAAATCAATAATGTGAGTACAAAGGACAAAAACACAAAATTGAGTTTGAAATCACACAGAAAGATTATTCCAGCAATACTGGGAGGAGCCACTAGTGTGAAGTTAGGCTTAGTGAAGAGAATGCATGATGTTGGACAGGAAAATGACATTCTGAAAGACTATGATGATCCCTTTGATGGACCAGGATGTTTACCCGCTCAGCACCATGTACAGATTGACCACATTGTTACACCCTATTGTGCATGCACCCAGAAGGGTCCCAGTAGCACTTAGTAGTTGAGGAACCACAGCAGATGGAAAAATTGGGAGCGATAGCCAGGCAGACTGAGCCGACTGAGTGGGTCATTAGCATGGTAACTGTGGTCACGCCTAAGAAAATCTGTATCTGCATGGACCCAAAGGACTTAAATCAGGCTATCAAATGGGAGCACCATCCATTGTTCACTGTTGAGGAAGTAGTGTCCCGTATGCCAAATGCTGTACTAGATGCTAATCAGGGTTTCTGGCAGATAAAACCTGATGCTGAGAGCTCAAAGTTGTGTACATTTAACACCCCTATAGGAAGACAGTGAAAGATTGGTCAGAAATTTCATCACTTCCTCCCTACCTGCCTCCTTGGACCCCTTACAGTTTACGTACCAGCCAAACAGATCCACAGGTGTGGAACAGGTACACAAATTATTTCACTGTGCGTTATATCATGTATATCTGCATTTGTGACCAATAAAGGTCTTGAATCTTGAATCTTGAATACCATTTGGGATTTTATCTGCACCAGAGGTATCTCAGAGGGCTGTTGCACAGATGATTGAAGGACTAGAGGGTGTGGTAAATATCAGTGATGACTTGCTGGTGTGGGGAGACTCTGTGGAGGAGCACAACCACAGACTGGAGAAGCTGTTGGAGAGAGCCAGGGAATACAGCCTGAAACTTAACAAGACCAAGTGTGTTATAAAGACAAATGAAATAAAATACATTGGACACAAACTCAGTAGCAGTGGAGTGAGATCAGATTAACCAGATGAAGCTCATTGATGTGTGATGTGATTTTGGTGGCACTACAAGTAATACATTAAAAGTTAAGATTTACTTCAAACTTATTGCAATCAAAAATCCCTAAAATAATTTAAAAGTATTTTTTTCCAATCGAAGTGCTGCAGTATAACCAGAGGGAGTTAATGGATGTGTGATGAGTTTGATGGTACTACAAGCAATAAATAAAAAGTTATTGAGATTTTACTCAAATTTATTACAATAAAAAATACCTAAAATTATATAATAGTAAATCTTTCCAATCTAAGTACTCTGGTACAGCCAGAGGAAGCTCATTGATGTGTGATGTGAGTTTGGTGGCTCTACAAAGAATAAATAATACGTTTTTTTCTTTCTTTTTTTTTTTTTTACATTTCCTGTTGCTCTGGTAATTTGTTGACGGTCCCTGAGCTGCCGTCTGGCAGCCGTCTGCACGTAAAGATCAATGTAATATATACAGAACGGAGGACGTCCCATTTTGCAACAAACAACAACAACAACAATAACAAATTTGGCCGGTTGTAGGTTGTGGTCTGTATTACAACGTTTGGAAAGAGGTGCCATTTGATTCAAACGCCGACGGGATATAATTATGTGACATTTTCGAGACGTCACGACAGAAAAACTAGCGCATGTACGGCGATGCCGCTAAAACTTCTCTCGAAAGCACAGACTTCAAACTCTCCCAGCCTTTGTTTCATGTCGATAGAACATATAAAACCAGAGATATGATGTTATGAACGTGCGTGGGGGAAAAAAGAAACAAAAAAACGTGTGTAAAATATAAGCATATGAAATATAGACTGCAGGCGTCGCGTTTCTCCGTTTCTCCGTCATGTTTTGTGACGGACAAAGCGAAAGTGAAAGAAAGTCTCTGGAAGTGCAGGTCCTGTAATGTGGCTGTCTGCCTCATTCTGGACAGAAACTGTTTTCTGGAGTGACAGAAAAAAAAAAAAAAACAGAAAGAAAGCTACAAGAAAGCTACACCTACTTTGTATATAGTTGCAAATATTTGTATTTAGTTGATTTTACATCAAATGTACCATTTCAAATTTCATATCTGCAACCCATGGTGACGTTTTCAACTTTCAAAATATTTTATGAATCATGTTTGTGGTTTTTATTGTAATAAATAATACATTTCTTCAAATCAGATTTTGTTCGCTTTTTGTGTGTTTGTGAGGCCAAAATGTTAATATAGTTGGTTAAAGTGAAAAGATAATAGTCAGATCATATAGATGATGTTGGGCTGACAAAAGAGATACCAAACATGGACATGGTAAACATGTTTCTGTGTGGTACATAAAGACAAAACTAAAAGAAAAACACAAAAACGGCCAAAACAGGCCAAGACCTCTAAGGGTTAAAAAGGACAATTCGCTTTGGATGTATTGATGCCAGAAGTTCAAGTCTTTAAATGTCTTTCCAACTTTACTGAACTGCCATCAACGGGGTCTCTGGGTAACAGCGTTGAATCTGACTGCCTTGGCGACGGGGTGGTTGGATGTGATTGCTCATCCAGCCTGTCAGCGGCTTCTCTGAGCAACTTAGATACTGACTTCTGCATATCACGCCACAGAGTTCAAACAGAGAGAAGGGTTCGTGCATTCACAAATTGCGCCGTGGTACTTCCTCTCAGCGCCAAGGTGATGTCACTTCCCTTCAACTGCACTAGGAGCTATAGCGCTAAGCAGGAATCCTGTGATCAGGTATTGACTACTCACCTGGACAGAAAGCCCAAAAGGAAAAGACAAAGACAGAGAGGAAAAGCAAAAGGAAAAAGCAAATACAAAATGGAAAAACAACAGGAAGAAACAGGGAAATGGGAAAAGCAAAGACAAAATGTACCTTTAAATTTCCATATTTTATTTCTTTATTTATTTATTCTTTTATTTATTCCGATTTATATTTACACATTCATTTCCTTATTTCTTAACAGATTCATTTTTTATTATGGCACTCCTGTGATTCCACAGCGCTGAAGACAATAATGACAGGGTGGATGGCAGTTTGAGGGATGTGTACAAAATTTTACATATAATTATAAAATGAGAAGAAAAAAAAAATCAATGTGTCTTCTTTTACCCAAGAACTTGGTAAGATTGACAAGAACATTTAAAACGTATATTCATTTTGTATCATTGAATGTCTTATTACATGAAGTTATCAGACCAGAGTGTGGGACATGGCAACAGCAGATACACCCAACCAAAGAAAATGGTATAAAATTAGTGAAAGACACTTGAAGAAATTTGTCTTTGAGCTGATGTGTGTGTCAATGTATGGCAATGTGTGATAACACCTACATTTTTGATTATTCTGTATTATTTTAATGATAACTTAATGATTCTGATGAGGACACCAAAAGGTACTTTATGGTGATATGAAACTCTCTTTGTATAACATTTGANACACCCAACCAAAGAAAATGGTATAAAATTAGTGAAAGACACTTGAAGAAATTTGTCTTTGAGCTGATGTGTGTGTCAATGTATGGAAATGTGTGATAATACCTACATTTTTCATTATTCTGTACTATTTTAATGATAACTTAATGATTCTGATGAGGACACCAAAAGGTACTTTATGGTGATATGAAACTCTCTTTGTATAACATTTGAAGACTGCATGTATGGTAGTGGGCTGCAAGGTGGCGCAGTTGGTAGCACTGTTGCCTCGCAGCAAGAAGGTCGCTGGTGCGGAGTTTGCATGTTCTCCCCGTGCAGTGTGGGTTCTCTCTTCCTCCCACACAGTCCAAAAACATGTTGAGGTTAATTGATGATTCTAAATTATCCGTAGGTGTGAATGTGAGTGTGCTTGGTTGTCTGTCTCTAAGTGTAGCCCTGTGATTGACTGGTGACCTGTCCAGGGTGTCCCCTGCCTTCACCCTTAGTCGGCTCGGATAGGCTCCAGCCCCCCGTGACCCTATTGAGGATGTGAGCGTGAGCAGTTAGCGGTGTATAGATAATGGATGGATGGATGTATGGTAGAGCATCAGTAAGACTGCTAAGGCTGAAATTTAAAAGCATCAGATTTGGAAAATGTTTTTCATGTCAATAACTTATTGACTGTTGAAACGCACTATTTCTATAACAAAACGTGTATATAACGAACGGTGAGGATTAAGAACGCGATACCGAGCCCCACAGCCACATGGTTCAGTGTCCTCGCCGTCCTGCTGTTCCGCTCCGCCATCACCTGGTCGCCGGCTTGGTTCGCCGTCCGGGTCTGAAGGAAAAAATAATTATAATGAAATAATTGAAAGTGCTTCTCTGCTGCAAAATATACTCTGATCTTTGATACTTCACGTTAATATTTTATTTAAATCGTATTCGCATATAGACATTCATCAGGTGAGCATAAGATGGACACAGTTGTGCACGCCAAGATTTCAATGTGAAAATAGTAATTAGATATCAATAAATAGAATACAAGAGCCTGTCCCAGCTGACTTAAGGCGAAGGCAGGGGACACCCTGGACAGGTCGCCAGTCTATCACAGGGCTACACTTAGAGACAGACAACCAAGCACACTCACATTNCCTGTCCAGGGTGTCCCCTGCCTTCACCCTATGTCAGCTGGGATAGACTCCAGCCCCCCACGACCCTGGTGAGGATTAAGTGGTGTATAGATCATGATGATGAAGGTCATGATGTTTTACTAACTTGTGAGGACAACCCATTTATTTTCATAAAACAGAAAAATGAATAGGGTGGACAATGACATCACAGGGTGGACAAAAATTTGTTAACTGTTGACATTAGTAGATTTATAAACAGCCATCTGAACAAAGTGGAGATGAAAAAAAAAAACGTGTAAAATATAAGCATATGAAATATAGACTGCAGGCGTCTCATTTTTTTCAACATCTCCGTCTCCGTGACGGACAAAACGAAAGTGAAAGAAAGTCTCTGGAAGTGCAGGTCCTGTAATGTGGCTGTCTGCCTCATTCTGGACAGAAACTGTTTTCAGGAGTGACATCGATAAAAACAGAAAGAAAGCTACAAGAAAGCCACACCTACTTTGTATATAGTTGCAGATATTTGTATTTAGTTGATTTTACATCAAATGTACCATTTCAAAATCTGCAACCCATGGTGACGTTTTCAACTTTCAAAATGCTTTGTGACGCATGTTTGTGGTTTTATTGTAATAAATAATACATTTCTTCAAATCAGATTTTGTTGGTTTTTTGTGTGTTTGTGAGGCCAAAATGTTAATATAGTTGGTTAAAGTGAAAAAATAATAGTCAGATCATACAGGTGATGTTGGGCTGACAAAAGAGATACCAAACATGGACATGGTAAACATGTTTCTGTGTGGTACATAAAGACAAAACTAAAAGAATGCAAAAACGGCCAAAACAGGCCAAGACCTCTAAGGGTTAAAAAGGACAATTCGCTTTGAAGTTATTGATGACAGAAGTTCAAGTCTTTAAATGTCTTTCCAACTTTACTGAACTGCCATCAACGGGGTCTCTGGGCAACAGCGTTGAATCTGACTGCCTTGGCGACGGGGTGGTTGGATGTGATTGCTCATCCAGCCTGTCAGCGGCTTCTCTGAGCAACTTAGATACTGACTTCTGCATATCACGCCACAGAGTTCAAACAGAGAGAAGGGTTCGTGCATT